CACACACACACACACACACACACACACACACACACAGGGGTTCCTTTGAGTAAACACACAGTATGCCACAATTAAAAAGAGCTGTTATCAGGGTGGGGGAGCCTAATGTGTAATAGAGGTTGGGGTGGAGGACTCAGGAAAAGGGTAAAAGTGTGGGTTTGACTTCCCCTCTCTGTCCTGCTGTCATAGCAGGGGTGTGAATGACTTGTTTTAGTCATTTCCTCCTTCCGCCACTCGCTACTTTTCTCAGAACAGCAAAGGAGCAAGTGAGCGAGAGATACAATTTTTGGGTTAAAACAACATAGTGGCCAGCATTTCGCCAAATGCCACCTCCCAGAAATCCTCTCTGTTCCTCGAGAGAAGTTTGTCCCTTGTGAACACAGGACCACCACAGTCATTGCTGTTTCCGGCCTTCTCTTCCATTTTTTGTCTAAAACCACGAAGATCAACCAGCTGGTTCTGAACAACACATCCTATCAAAGATTGGTGGTGTGTGTGTGTGCTTATGCTTCTATGTTCTGAGTAATCTACCAGTAGTCACGAGTAACATAACTCATAAGGAATCCTTTTCTCATGGTTTAAGTCTTGCTTTGTTGCATACACACACACAATCTATCCCCCTATCTGTCTGCCCTCATTTCCTGTCACCACCATCTCTCATCCAGTAAAGTAAATACCCAGAAATGGAAAACAAACAGTGGCATTTTCCCAGTTAGCTTCCAACAACAAAACAGATAAACACCTATTACTTTAACGTACTAATGATTACAAAATCATGTCATCAGTGACAGTGTGATTATATTTCTTTCTAAACTGAGAAAACACAAGCCATGCACAAGCCGTGTAGGCTCTATTTTCAGACTAAGTGAAGAAGAAGACTACGATCTAAGGAAAGCATGAGTAATGTCTCTTGAATTTCCAGATAAGTGGGCCTGCTGTCATTTCTTAACATCACTCAGTTACAACACACTTGCTCAGGGTGTGCAGTGTCAGGCCTTTCATTCTTCAAACAACCAGCAGATGGCATCGTCTAACAGTCAATCAGGGGAATCCTCTGTCAGTAAAACAGCGTATGTCACAGTCCTTTAATCCAGTAATACACAAAAGAAAACGGATACAATTTAATGATATCGTTGTGGATTAAGAGAAGGACAAACCAAGGTTAAGGATGTTAACGCAACATTTACAGAGATATGAATAAATTAGATCTATTGACACTGGAGCAAACGCTGAGCATTTTTTCTGACAACCCAAGGGTTAAAGGAGTCTATTACACACCAAGCTTACTGATGCAATTAACCCTTTCTGTTACGCCCTAAGGGAAAACAAATACAAAGCCCTGAAAAAGAATGTAGACTACAACAGGCTACATACCAACATGATTCTACGCACCCACAGAACAGATTGACTGCTAAATGGCATACAGTAAACGCACTGTTTTAACACCCAGCTGGGAGAGAAGCAGATCACTAACTCCCATAGTCAAACAAACACACTGACACACACAGTTCCACCCTTTTGCTGGTTGGAATGCAGATTAGGCTTTCATGCGCACGCTCGCACACACGCGCACACACACAGGGAACGTAAATCCTCTTGGCTACTGTATGCCCTGGCCAGTGGAGAGATAATGCAGTGGCAGCTCTAGCGAGTGGTTAATCTTTAACCAGGAAGGGATTTGCCTATCAGCTTGTTAAAACTAGCAGTGTCGTGCTGCTGGCCCATCTATTTGATCCAGTCACCAACCTGTCTTGGCCAAGTCCAATACAGCACGGACTGAAACTGTACTGCCAACTGACACATGACAACTAGTGCGTTTCCATGCTTTACTTCACTCAGGCAGCAGATGCCTCTTTTCTAGAGGCATGGTAAAGCACACTTCA